ACTGGTGGGGTCACCTTTTACACCTAGGTGTTACTTCCGGGTTTTGACCATGACCTCGCCCTCGAGACTACCTCACCTTGACACCCCAACCAATACCCCACCCACGAACCCCCCTTCGCCACCCGCCGTTTTTTTTTTTTTCCACGCCGCGTGCCCGCCCGCGCGTCCGCCCGCGCCCTTCGGCGACCCCCCCGCCGCGCGCCCGCCGCGCGCCCCGCCCGCGCCCTTCGCGACCCGCCTGCGCCTTCTGCTGCGCACTTTGCAGCGTCGTCCGGATCGCCCCCGCGCTCGAATTTTTTTCCGATTTTTTTCGAATTTTTTTTGAATTTCATTTTCTTGTGCTCTCAATCTCCTCGGATCCAAGTTTTTTGGGTAACCTCCTTCACCCCCCCAGCCCCAACCAATTATCAATATCAAAGTCTCCACTTCCTCGGATCCCCTCCCAACTTTCACCCCCCAACCCAAAAATTCTCGATTAATACAAGTTTTTGGATTCCCCCTATCGGGTTTCGGAATTCTCCTTCTCCTCGGATCAGTTTTTTGGATCCCCCCCTATGGGGTTTTCGAAATGCTCAATCTCATTGGATCAAGGTTTTTGAAGTCTCCCCTATGGGGTTTTCGAAATTCTCCATCTCCTCGGATCAAATTTTCTCGATAATATCAAGACTCCATCTCCTCAGATCAAATTTTTTGGATCCCCCTATGGGGGGTTTCGAAAGTCTCCATCTCCTTGGATCAAGGGTTTTGAATTTCTCCAATTCCTTGGATCAAATTTTTGGGTACCCCTCCTTTCACCCCAAATTTTCTCGACAATACCATGACTCCATCTCCTCGTATCAAGTTTTTTGGATCCCCCCTATGGGGTTTTCGAAATTCTCCATCTCCTCGGATCAAATTTTCTCGACAATACCATGACTCCATCTCCTCGGATCAAGTTTTTTGGATTCCCCCTATGGGGTTTTCGAAATTCTCATCTCCCAAATTATCTCCGATAATACAAGTTTGGGATTTCCCCCTATGGGGGTTTGGAAATTCTTATGCTCTCCCTTGGGTCAAATTTTTTGGTTACCTCTCACTTTCACTCCACCCTAAAATTTTCTCGATAATATCCAAGCTCCATCTCTTGGTTCAAGGTTTTTGGATTCCCCCTCTGGAGGGTAAGAGTCAAATGAAACTCCTCCTATGGGGCATGGTGCTCTCTCTTACTACAGGTCTAAAATAGTCAAATGAAGGGTGTTACTCGTCGGTCAGGGACGTCAGGTTTCCTCTCATTAAGTTATTGAACTAAATTGACCACGCGCACACAGGCTGATTCATGAAGACCCTTTTTGTTCATTAAAGTTTAATCAGGGGATATAGTACCTACCTCATGGATAGCATTTTCATCCATCGAAAGTCACATTTTTTTTTCGTTAATAGCCCACATTTCTTTACACACATGGTAGACATGTTTTAAATAAATTTCATTCTCAGTCACTCCCCACGAAGTAACCTACTCCCCACCATCCCAAAACCCTCACATTCAACAACACCTCACAATTTTCACTCATTACCCCAATTTTTCTCGTTTTAACCTTTTAGTTCTTTAAAGTTAATAATGGGGACACAGTGCATCAGGAAAGTCACCAATCGCTTACCATCCACTTTTCGTTAATTCACAATTTCATATTTACGAGTTAAATACGCACTTTTACTTTGAACATCTTCAAAACACGCTCATAAATATTTGAATACTCACAAAATACCTTATACATTTCCAAAACAACACTGAAATACTCATAAAAACATCATGTTCGAACACCCCAAAGCAACTATGAATATCCCAAGAACACCTTCAAATGTTCTCTTGCAATCATTTGAACACCTCATATGTACTCTCATAATCATGTGTACACCTTCAAAAAACACCTTTTGAATACTACATAAAACACCCTTGAACACTTCAAAACACTTTGAAAGAACCTCAAAACCCCTTTGTCTACTCAATAAAACACCCTTGAACACTTCAAAACACTTTGAATAACCTTCAAAAACATTTGAACACCTTCTAAACACCTTGAACACCTTAAAACCTTGATCACCTTCAAAAAAATTCATTTGAAACACCTTCATAAGTACTCTCATAATCATTTGTACACCTTCAAAAAAACACCTTTGAATACTCACATTAACACCCTTGAAACACCTTCATAACAAACTTTGAAATAACCTCAATAACTCCTTTGTATCACTTCAATACACCCTTGAACACCATTGATCACCTCAAAAAAAAAACATTTTGAACACACTAAAACACTTTGAACACCTTTGAACGCATTTGAACATTTACAACAACACAGAAACATGCTTCAAAAACACCTTTGAATACTCCCAATTACACCACTGAATACTACTCAAACACCGCTGAATTCAATAAAACACCTTCAACACCTTCAATTACACTTTGAACACTTTGAACATTTCCAATAAATATTTGAGTACTCCAATTACACCACTGATACTACTCAAACACCGCTGAATTCAATCAAACACCTTCAACCTTACAAACCCCCTTGTACACCTTCAAAACCACTCCTTTTGATACACCTTTAATAAACACCTTTGCAACTTTCCAAAACCACTACTTTGAGTACTTCCCAATTACACACTGTTTAC